CATAGAGGAAATACAGTACATGTAATTCTATTGGAGATGTGCTTCTAATAGAGTAAATACAGTACATGTAATTCTATTGGAGATGTGCTTCTAATAAAGGCAATAGATTAGGTACGTTTATTTTATTGTAATATTTCTCATGAACATGTTTCTTTCTGTTTTCCAGGGTTGAACAAGAACTGATGGCAAGAATAATAAGTCAGATGCGTCCACGAGAGGAAGACGAACCAGATATCTTGAGACCAGACAGTCCAGTCAGTAGCGAAGCGACAGATGAGAGTGTCATTGGTGAGTAGTTACTTCATGCCAGATATCTTGTTACCAGAATAACAGCAGTGCCTTCAATGAAAAAAAATCTCATGAGCGTTTTTTTCATTTAAATGTTCTTTTTTTTTTGCTGGCATCTCATAGTGTTAGCTCACAACACTATGAGTTCTGTTGTCGGCATTACAAAAATGGCAGAGTAATTCAAAAACATTTTGTGCTGCTAGATAAGTGGAGAACAGAAGTATAAGTGGCGTAGGTATCTGGTTGCCTCTTGACATTTCAATTTTGTAGTATACGATGTATCCTTGGGGCATACGGAGGTTTTCTTTCACATCACTGTCATTGCAGTGCTGTTAGGGATTTATGCATACATTCTGCTTAATAGTATTTATTTATTGTCAATATTTATCCAAAGAAACTGAAAACTGATTTTGGTGCATTTTTCACATTTTAAAATTTCTTTGTTGATTTTGGAGCTAATGAACATAATTTTTCATTAGATAAAAGTCTTGATGAAACATTTTTTTTTAAATAAGCGTGTCAATAAATATCAACTTTCAAGTGTTCAGCAGTCAAAAGTCAAAACGTTAAAAACAATAAAGTTGTCATCACAGGTGTAAGTTTTTTTTAAAATGTTTGAATCATCATTGTTGATCCTCTTGTCTTTTCTCCTTTTTTTCTTTCTTATTCTTGATTGTTGTGAATCTTGTCTCTCCATAGTTGATGGCATGGGCAATGCTGGCCTGCAGTTATTTGTAGACTCAGGTCACCCTGTCAGTTCTGATCTTGTCAATGCACTGGTCAGAGAAGTGATAGAGGAAAAACTAGCAGCTATGTTAGGACAGCAATTAGCAGATCGGCAACGACCAAGATCACCACCTCCGTCACCAAGACAAGTGGTCGAAGAGCAACCGCCTCGACAACCAACTCCACCGGTATGGTAGATATTAATTTAATCCATATGGGATGTTTTGGGTGTCGCTATTACTAAGAAGTGGGCCTTTAATACACTTCACACCTGTGGTTTTAAAAGCAAATAATTTGTTAAATTGCGACTGTTATGCAGATATATTTTTTATCATTTGTATTTTTTTTCAGCCGTTCATACCAAGAGAACGAGTATCAACCCCTGTTGTTACGCCGCATGCAAGTCCAATACACACACCTCCACCACCTGCTGTCCGATCCCCGCTTGATACCCCTGATGTAACACCAGAGGGCTCTATTGTGATGGTTCCTGAGTCTGAAACGGACAGTGACATGAGAGAGCCAACCCCTCCACCTGGTATGAATAAATCATTATTATATTATATTTGTTTTGTTTTTCCATTCCATGTGCTGAAACAACTGGAATGTAGTTTTGTCACATCTACCCTCTAGAGGGGTGATGCATACCTGCGTTTTAGGGCAGTCAAATCAATTATTGAGAGTAAGTATACTGCCCTCTATAGGTTAAGAACTGATATTAGCTATGAAAGTCAGGGCGCCCCCAAACTTTGTGTATGAAAATGATTTTGTTTTACCATATATATAAAAATATTTAACAATGTCTTGACATTATCTAGATGTCCACAAAGAGATCACACCAGAGTTTGAAATTGATACATGATCTTTTTTTTTGTACAACACAACAGAACCCACCCCAATAAAGATGCCAGATTCGCCTGTTCAAACTCCTATCAGTACTCCACCCAGGACACCCCCACCTAAAGCACCAACACCCCTGCCATCACCAAGGGACTCACCGATACCATCTGTGCAGGAACCCTCTCCATCGCCATCACCAAAACCCTGGACGGAGGAGGAGCTCCCAATTGATGAAGAACTGCCATCAAGAGATCGTGAAGAAGAGCCACTAAGACCAGTGTAAGTGGGAACAGCCTTGCAGTCTGAATTTAGTGTAGCCTTGATCATGTCAGACAGATCTGCTCTTGTCTGCCAACCACAAAAACAAGACATGTAGAACCTTTCAATAGACTTAAATACCTGTGATAAAAACTTGTGCAGCCTTTGGTTCCCTGTTTTCAATCACCAAAAATAAACATCATCTTCCCTAGGCTCATACTAGCTCCTCTGTGTTGCTAGTACTGCAAATAGCTCTAGACAGTTCAGAAATTATATTGATGCAGATAGATTTTATTTTATATTATCTTCGCATTTATGAATGTGCTGTCTTAAAATAAATTAATTATAAATCAAAGTTGTATTAAAAAACTATAACTTCTTTTTATGTTCCAGTGTACTCACTCTTGAGCCTGACATAGAAGGTGGCGATGTCATCCAAATCCCAATTCTGACACCTCCAAAACGAGCTACTCCACCTCCGTCATCACCGTCAGATGTCAGCTCTTCGTCACCAGAGCCGTCAACATTTACAGAAACCACAGACAGAGACATCAGTGATGGGGAGTGGCTTCTCAGTAGGAGTGAGGGTCAGATTCTACCCAAAACAAGTAAGAACTCATAGTTTTAATTCGTTGTATCTCTCACCACTGGTTAGACTTGCTTACTAGTCTTATTGTTTTTTGAAATAAGGAAAGAAGAGAAAAATGGGGAATGTACAAAATAGTGCAGTGTTTGCGAAAATGGAGAGTGATTGTGAAAAAACGACTTGTGTCTCTTTGGTAACCAGTTGGATGAAACACTGCACCTTTTCTGTGGGCCTAACAAACTGAGCAATAAACCTGTTTCTGATGTAGTCAGTGTCCTTTGTAGCCTAATCTTTCCAATACTAACTCAATGATACAGTCATTCAAGGACATCACAAAAAGTTGAACAATAAAAGTGTGAACAAAAAATACATTTCTTTCTTTAAGGGCACATACAACGGATATATCTGTGAACATTCCACAATTTTGCATTTTTGCTATTTTCAAGGATTCTTTTAATTTTTTCATTTTCCCCCAAAAAAGTGACATTCAAGCAAGTCTAACCAATGGTGGTGTGAGTTTGTTTGCATAACTAATTTTTACCTTTGAAAAGAGTCAAACTAGCAGATATTTTGGCAAACAAGATACAACACTCATGTGTGACTCATACAAAACAAACACAAACTTGATTGGCTACACAAGCCAACAGTCAGACCAATCAAACAACAGCTTGTTTGGCTACACAAGCCAACAGTCAGACCAATCAAACAACAGCTTGTTTTTTTATTCACTTGTGTTCTGAGTCAACTGACAGATTTTTAAAGTTTGACCATAGAGGGCGATGTTGCAGATTGAAGGTTTACAAATCCACTGTTTTTAACAGACCTCAATGTTTTGTTACCTGTTTAGGATTGGGTCAAGATGGTTTCCGTGTAGCTTTCGACCATCAAGCTAATAAACCAGATGATTCTGGGAGTAGTCGGGACAGTACATTGCATGAAACAGAAGACATCGAAGCAGATGTAACGCAGGTAAAATTGTCTCACATGAAACCATTTGTATGTACATATATGTTATTTCTTCTTCTCTATGGACCTCGTTCATCAATTATTTTTATTTTTGACCACTGGGTTTTGTATAAAAGAAAGGATAACCAAAATTACCACTTGTCCTCAACATGTAACTGCAACCGTGACTATCAAAGAATTTTGTACTCATGGATTTTACTTTTTTTACAAGCACAGTAATTTACTAGCACTGATTAGTTTCCTTTTTGCAGAAATGAACGATTTTTTTTGTCACATAATTTCAGCTATCAAATGCTGTTATATTTTCAGCATAGATAATAAAAATAAATGACATTACATTGGTGGCTGTGTGATGCAGTCCACTCAGGAAACATACATATTTGTGCTTGGAATTAATATTTCCAATATTTCTTTTTAAGGCATTTAGTGAAGGAGAGGTGTTAGGCAAGAAAATACCGATCCATAAAGACCCGATGTTAGCTCTACTTGCCCGTCTCAGTCAACAAGCCTCGGTTGTAATGCCGTCCCAAGAAGCTAATTACCTCCATCCAGCTACTCAAACGTCAGAAGCCGAAATTAGTGCCGGTGAAGTCAGCTGGGGTCAACGACCTAGCTACACTACAGTTGCTGAGAAGATTGTCTATGGGCAATCTGGGCATCTGAAGCCGGAGAAATCCAGATCCACTGCGAGACAGCTTCAGTCGGGATCCCCTGGCGAAGTTGAATTAACATCGGGTGATCGTCCTTTGAGAGTCTCCGAACTTGATAGCCCTAAATCAGGCAGATCACCGAAGAGCAAACACTCGAAGTCTCCAAGATCTCCAAAGTCACCAAAGTCACCTAAATCTCTGTCACAAAAAACGCCTAGTCGAGTGATCCAAGTTGGTAGGTCAGAGTCACCTAGGAGTCCTCGTGCATCATCTGCTAGTAGGGTAATTCGAGTGGGTGGAAAACCAGCATCACCGCCACCATCATCACGGGTCATTCATTTTAGTGGCTTGGATGATGAACAGCCAGCTGACGATATGCCTCAAGGTCAGTCTACAATCTTCTTTTTTTTTACTTCTTTTTTTTAAATATTTTTTGTGCCAGGCGACAGTTCCGGACATTGAGTGTCACTGTTGTTTCTCCTGACTTTTTTTTTCTGTATGTGCAAATTGAAAGTGCTCGTGACGACACATAGTGCATTTTGCCACAGAAGTCATATTCATGTTTGGGACTACATGACAGGGCTGTGTGGCCATCTCTCTGTCGAATGGCAATTTGTAATGCGCTATCCTGGCGTCAACCAGGCCCGGTCGAACACAAGCACCTGCGGACCTTAACCAAGGTTCCCCCAAAGTCACATTCGTTAGTGAATGAATCTCGGCCAGTGGAATTGGCCTTCCCATTGTGTCTGTGGCACACTCACCCAGGGTAGGGGTTGACCCTTTGATGTTCAACCTAAGGTAGGATTTGAACTTGGGTCTACCGATAATGAGTATGATGCGACAACAACTATGCTACCAGTGACCGGTATAATCTTCTTTTGTATAATTTTTGACTCCCATGTGCGAAGCACAAAATGGGAGTCCTTGCAGTTAGTGTGTCTGTATGTGTGTGTGTGTGTGTATGTGTGTATGTGTGTCCGACTGTTCCACTGCTATCTCAAGAACCATACATCGGTTTTTGATGAAACTTGGTGCATAGATGCTCTGGGCCAATACGCAGATTTGATTAGGTTTTGGTAAAAATCCATGCTCGTTAATTACCTAATTTGCATGATAATTAGCTAATTTTTAGCTGTTCAATGACTGTTCCACTGATATCTAAAGAACCACTCATTGGATTTTGATGAACTTGGTAC